CCGGAGACACCCGACCCGCACGGCGGGGAAACGTCACCCAGCCGTGACGTGTGCCCGGGTCTCTGACCTCATCCCTTACCTCCTAAAGGCCGATCCGTTTGTTTTTCTCAGCTCCGGTAGCTTGATCTGCGAAAGGCTCTGTTCGCATTACAAATCCGCCCTCCCGTCCCAGGGGGGTCGGGCAGGGGGCGAACGGGAGGAAAATACATAAAAAGATGAAGGCGGCGAAGTTTTACCTTCGCGTCCAGCTCAAGGTGACATTGCTAGGGCGTGTGTTTTAACGAAGCGCCGCCGTCCTTGGCTGCTTTGCTGCCCAGGTGGCTGGTGAGAGCTGGGCATCGCCGGCCGGGACGGGTCCGGGTCCTGGTCCCAGTCCCGGCCCTTCACCAGCAGACAGACAGAGCTGCCTCTTCCCTGCGGGGAGCGTGGGGCTCGAGGGCCCGATCCCTGCCATGTCCCCCTCTTTCCAGGCTTGGCGGACTAAAGACGCCGTGCAGACCCCACCAGCAGCGAGGAGCCGGCAGTGCCAGGGCGGCAGCTCGGGGCAGAGCGGGGAAAAAAGCATCGCTGGTCCCGCCATGCCCCGGTCCCGCGATTTGCTGTCCCCAGGGTCTATTATTTGTTGTTCTTTTTGCAGCAATAGCTTTTTTTAGGGGCCATTGCACAAATAGTGTGTGAAGGGAAAGGCTTTACTCTGTCCAAAGAGCTGTCTGCTGTCCAGACACAACTGTGCTTTGTTTTAATCCTATGGGACGTGCAGGTCTGATCCGCCTCTTTCATAAATCCTGGCACGCAGGTGATACAGCCTCGCCTCCGTGAAACAGCGCACGGGCAAAAAACGGCTTTGCCCAAAGCTACGGGGAGTCATCCTGAAATCCTAACGCTTAATTGTCGCCTCTGTGCTTAGGTGGAAGCTTGCGGCCAATGCGCGTTGGTTACTCGAATGCATTCAGATAAATTCTCATGCATGCTCTGGGCGTTCAGACCTTTCACACGACAAGGTCTCAAACCCGACTGCTCCCAGGGCTGCAGCACGACCTGCGGCGCGCTGAGCTGAATGCCCTGCTCCCCGGGCCCCAGAACTGGTAGATCTCGTCCGCTTGCATCATTTCTGTTTGCAGACTGAAAGAGGAAATTAACTTTCCTGGAGCGTTTTTGATCCAGCAGTCGGTGACTGCGTCGACGTGGTTGAACCTCCTAGGAGCTGCTTGCTGGGAGGAACTGCAGGCCTATTTCTGAGCTAAGCCACGCTGAGGTTAAGCTCAGCGTGTCCCCTCTCTTCCCACCCTCCAAACAAATCCATCCCCCTGTAATGCCCCCGACGCTGCCTGTCTCCCCAAGGCGTTTACTGACAGTGGCCAACAGCAAGCCACGTTAGAGCAGGAAAACCTAAAACCGAGGCAAATCAGTCTGGGGACGAAGGACGCCCCTAGTTAAACGCTGCAGGAAGGGTTGGTCCTCTTTCCCCAGCCTGCTGCTGGGCCGGACTGGAGCCCCCCCGCCCTGGGTCCACGGCCCATCACCTTCCCTCTGCTCTTCCCTCCTCCCCAGGCGATGGATTCTCCCTACGCAAACGGAGCCTACAGCCCCCCGTACCCACCGGCTCCCAGCGCTGCCCCACACTACGCCGGCCTGCCGCAGACACGGGGGGACTACTGCTCCGGGCCCCCACGGACCCCCTACCCTGCGGAGTCCACGGGCATGTACCGGCCCCCATCACCCGCTCCCCCCTGGAGCTACGCCCCACAGGACTGCCCCCCCGAGGGGTCCTCTCTCAGGAGGCAGCAGGTTCCTGGCTACTCCCCACCGCAGGTAAGAGCCCGGCCACTGGCCACAGCAATTCCCAGCCCCGGTGTCGGTGCAGCTGCTGGGCTTGCGGTTCCCAGGGCATCAAAAGTTGTTTTATGGGGCCGCAGCGGAGGGAGAGCCCACAGTGCCCCCTCCGATGGATCCGTGGGTCCTCGTGGCTGTTGTGCCTCGAGCAGCTTCCCTGCCTGATTTTATTCTTATAAAAACTGGCGGTCGATCCATTTTCCAGAGACTCCAAGCGTGTGGGCTGGGAAAGCAGGAATTGGGCAGCAAGCCTATGGCTGTTCCCAGGGCTGTCTGGAGGGAATGGTGCTCGGAGTGACTCGGGGGGTAATGCCTGTTCCCCCCTTTTGTTGCAGACCCCGGGAATGCCCATCCCACAGTATCCATACGGAGACAGCAACCCGGGGGTCGCACCGCAGGGGCCTCCGCCACAGCCCAGACCCCTGGAGGACACGTGGGCCCCCCCGGTCTATGGGGTGCAGCCGCGGTACGGGTGGCCCGCGGCTTCCATGCACGGGAACCTGTTCGTCTCCGATGCGCAGCCATCCTGGACGGGCAGCGGAGCTCCCTCCCACCCTCCTGCGTGGGACTCAAAGGTACAGCTGATGTCCTACGTGCTGGGTCCCGGCTGCCGTCAGACCTCCTAAATTACACAGCTCTCCCCAAAGCCTGCCTCTGGCTCCTGGGAATGCCCCTTTCTCCGAGCACTGTTAGTTGAGGTAGAATCATAGAATCACTTTGGTTGGAAAAGCCCTTTAAGATCATCGAGTCCAACCTTTAACCTAACCCTGCCATCCCACCACTAAACCCTGTCCCTAATAAAGGGAACAAAGCAGCAGGTATCTAGAGAACTGCCAGCAAAATCTCCTACTGGCATAGAGAAAACCAAAATCCACGGCTGTAATTCCAGGAAGGTACTGGAGATACCAGACGTCCCAAGGCAGGTCTTGAAGTGGGTCAGACCTTGTCTCACTCGTCCAGCTCTTTTCTCTCAAGCAGCTAAAACTGGCAGAAATCCTCCCACAGAGCGTGGGACTCACCGGTGGGTCAGTTTGCAGACGCTGGAATTCCTCTACGGGTGCTTGGTTTGGGCAGAGTTATCCTCTACCGAGGAACGTTTTAAGCAAAAAATCTAAGGCAATGATGCATTTGGTGGGGTCCGTTCATCTCAGCTTCCTCTGGCTTTGATCCGGAGTCCAACGACTCTCTGGAGGTTTGGTCTGCAGGCAGCAGCCCTGATGGGGGGGTGCGTGAATTCGGGGGTGGTGGCTGCTGTTATCTGGGGATGGTTCAAGAGCGTGCTCCCTGCAGAGAAGCCTCTTCCCCAGAATATCCAAATGGGACCGGGTTGAAATCCGTTCAGCATCTCCCCTGTTCAAGGATAGCGAGCGTTCACGCTGTTCCTCCTGGATACGTGCCCCTTGCCAGGGGATCTGTTCTTTAACGGCCAGGGACTGGAGCCTGGGTCCCGTGTCCCTCTCTGGGACTTCTGACAGAAAGCAGCCCGCTTGGCAGGACACAGGGTGCCAGCCCGCAGGGACGTGATGTGTTACGACGTCACGGTGTGTGACCGTCTCAAAAATGCTGCCCAGATCCCTGGTGAGGTCGTGCATAACCCGGCCTGCCCTGTCCTCCCAGGCATGCACGGCTCAGAGCGGCCACGGCGTCACCTGCTGCCCCAAGCCCTCAGCCCTGCCTGCCTGCCCTGTGAGCACGGGATTAAAGACCTGGCTTTAAGGGAAACGCACGTAAAGATTTTTTCGCTTTTTCCTTCCGACTGCAGGATGCTGCTTACGAGAAAGCCGAGCAAAGCGCAAACCAACACAACTACTATCCCGATGTCAATCACCAGCCCTCTGGGACAACAAATGACCACAAGCCAGCCGCTCCGCTCAACGCCAAGCCGCCCCCCTCACACCCCCGGGTGCAGTACAGTGCACAGCCCCAGATGTATGACGGTGCGGCTCGGAAGCTTTTGGCTGGGAACCGGGAGGCTGGCTTTAAACCTGCTGACCAGCCTTCAACAAATTCTGCAGCCGCCCAGCCAGCGATTCAGAGAATCCTCCACGTTATGGGGG